AGGCGTCTGGAGTGGTGTGATTCTCCGCAATCTCCAGAGTAAAACCGGTCGATGCGCTATGGCAGCGATCGTCCTCATCAAGACGAACGCCATTCATCATGCTCGTCGTTCACGCGAAGCAGCAGTCTGTTGGAGACACTGCCTGCACTTCGTCGGGCAGCTTCGTGGAAGAAACTTTCGCATATAGACAATGCATGAATGTAAAGGGGGCTGAGGGCTCTGTGTTGTCCGCATTGACCCCGCTTGTTCCGTTCCCCGTTGCCCATTGCCGAGGGGCTCACAGTCTGAGCAATGCCAGCGAAGCGAATAGTGAGTTGGCTTCGGGTCTTACTTTCGGTCGACAGGAACACACGTTGAACAGAGTGACGCTGCTTCCGTTCTGCCCTATAGGCATGCTTGCGTGGTTCGACTTTGGCGCAGCATTGCAGACACGCTGCGGTTCCACTTAGTCAATAATAGGTTCTCGGCAGTCTCGTAAACATCGCACATTGTTACTGCACGATAACTCAAAAGAAAAATGTTACTATCGATGGGTTACTTGCGTTTGCCGCTCACCAGGAACGTTTTGAAATGCACCATTGGCGGGGCTGTTGAACATGAGACTAGCTAGATAGGCTCGATGGATTGACAGCTGCTGTAACTGCTCCACCATTGAGGGGGGGTGAGCAAACAAACGAATGCAACACTTGCCCAAAACTGTCCGGAGGAAACGATTACTTTCCCGTGACCCTTAACTCATTTCTCTAAGATGACAGCTTGCCTTGCTATTGAGGATCCGCTGAAGCGATGCACATCACTCACGTTAGCAGTACCACCAGGAATCTGTCAGCGCTTGCCAGATATGTTGATCCCAGTCAAGAGAGGGGCGGCAAATCATGGGCAGAGCAGCCCTGGCGGCTTTGGAGAGGGCGTCTTGAGGGCGGGCGCGGAGCGGCGGCACGGCACCAATGAGATCCGGATTCAGAGGCTCGTGGCGTTTGACAGCACTGACCTTGTCAATTCTCTGTCGCAGCCAAAAAAGGGGGCCAACGATAACCCCCACGCCCATTCTGGGGTTGGATGGGCATCAGCGGAGTGACCCCTGCTATCTGCTCGGGTGAGCGACAGCCATAACCACCCCCTTGGCAGCCCTGACGCCTCGAAGGGGGGACCTCTCGCTTTGTGGCGAAAGAGGAAGCGTTCCCGGCTTTCCGCCAACTCAGGAGTGTGGGAGAGGGGAACGGGTTCTGGTTTCGTGCCTTTGCTTCAGTGACTGAAGAAGCATCGGCATAGCCGGCTTACCCTGTCCCCGGAGACACAATGCGGAAAGGCGAAAAGAAATCTCTGTCGCATAGATTTGCCTTACGAGAGTAGAGCCGAATAGAGTCCCGTTATGTGGATGAAAGCTCGACCTTGACACACCGAGCGTAACCTGGCGAGCTTCACGCAAGGACCAGTGCAGCAGTCGACCCCTGTGGTAACTATCTGAGACCCACTGCGGGTAAAACGAGCTGAGAAAGGCCGAGGGTAATAGATCTTGGCTCTAGTCTGAGATTCCCGACCGGATAATAGTTTCGTTGTCGGGTTATGATTACCGAGCGTTGCCCGAAGTTCACATACGGCCGACCCTCAAACGGAATAGGCTATGAGTAGGAGCCGAGCCGACCACAACTGTCGTTCTACCTGACAGCTGCCTCGCCAGCGCACCTCACTGTGGTTTCCCTTCGACTAGCCGTCACGCCTAGGCTAACTCTTCTGTGGCGGAGGGCATGTGTCCTCTGGGGCTCGGAAATTCCGGTTTGGAGCATGTGGCCACTGAGCTCCCGCTGCTGGCTAGCATGAAAGAGGTGAGCCGGCTGGAGGGCATTTCTCTCGGCACTTCTCGCGGTATTGATAGCAGAGCTGAATGAAGTAGCTGAATATGCCTTCGCAGCTTTGGCGCGCGTGAGCAAGAGACCAAGCGCACGTCTTGGTAGTGATCCCATATCATCGTGCAAGGGATCGGGTGAACAGCAAGCGAAGTGTCAACTAAACCAGGCCCCAGCATGGCTGCCGGGCAGTCAATCTATTCAGCGGATCCCCAGCCAGATATGCGCGAAGGGTCCTTCTGGCGTTGGTCGAAGATCAGCATTGGGGCTGGTTGATCAGTCTTCACTGGCGAGGATACTCGCCCACTCTTTCGAACGCATGAGACTGCTGGCACACTAAACCGCCCTTTCTCAGGTTGAGTGGAGTTGCTGATTCGTACTGGGTGAGTTGAGGGGTATCATTTGACCTTTGCGATGCTTGACCTGAGACCAGGTTTGGAGATTGTAGGCACGAGCATCCTTCGGCCTACCGTCCGTGGCCACCGTGCCAAGCATGGGTTGTCTGGGGTCGTATGTCGCGATTCCAGATCCGAGCCACTTCTGAAGCAAAATGAGCGGACGGAGAAGGAAGGAATGTGCGAGCTGGATAATGAGCCGGCTGATCGTCCTCCCACGGCCTGGTCTCATCCACGACAAGAACCAACGAAGTGTCTGCCAAGATATAACGCTACCAGGAGTGGCATTCAACAGCACGTTTGTCAGACGAAGCTGAATGGCTGGTTGATTGCCACTGGCTGCAATACCTCACGGCTGTCAGACTATCACCAAATGTTTCTGCCCACTGTTTCGACGACGATCAGGATCGTAGGGTGTTGAAGCAAGTGGTGATATGTGTCTTGGGATATGCCACTTGCCTGGGCCGTGACGCGAAAGAATCTCAGAGGCTGCTGATCACTGTGAGGGGCCTAGCCATGTTGTGTGAAAACGAGTCGAGCAACTGGCTGAGACGCCCAGAGTCTGTCCTGCCGTTGTCGTCTTGTTCGCTCAAGCCACCCTTCCCCGGATTCCTGTCATGTCAGGAGACGCAGGATCCCGTGGGTGACCCCCGTGGATGGTCCCCACCCCGCTCCCTGGTGGCGCAATCAGCAAAGCGGTGGGCGGAATGGTGTCATTGGAGGGCAGGCAGCCAGACGACTAGCCTATGGAGAGAGGAAGAGAGAGAGATTGAAAGCCAGTCAGGCCGCGAAACGATGCAACAGGCAAGTTCGGCCTCCGAGCCGCACACTGGCGTGAAGTGGCCGAGGAACAAGACGTATTGGACGTGCACTGCCCAGCACCCAATCACATGGATGAAGCTCGAGACCGGCATGTCTTTGGTGTGCTATTGAGCCATCATGGCATAGACATGGGTGATGGGGCCCTTGGGGGCAGCCCTCCTCGCCTTTTACCCCCGCGATCTCTGGTTTTGGCCGGTCCACGATAGGGAGGTGGGATGTGGCCGGTGGGCTGGCGCTTGTCTAGACAGTTCCGGATCCGGGCGTGGACGTGGAGGGGATCGCAGGGGTACAGACGCGAGTTGAGGCAATGTGTGGAGGGCCGAGATTGAGAGACGAGGCAGAGATGCTAGACCGAGGCCTCACCAGGAAGGTCTCCGGGGGCTGTCGCTGAAAACAAGCCGACCGAGAGAACGTGTACATGTAAGTACTGTAGGCAGGACGAGGGTCGACGGAGAATGATGACTGGTGGACTGGAGAGAGTGAAAGTCAGTGAAGGAGTGGAAGAAGCCGGGCGGCACGCCTCCACCGAGGCCCCCAGACCAAACTAATCTCACCCCCGTTCTTTCCCCACCGAGGCATCACGGCATCACAGGGCCCTGCCATGTGCCTGCCTCTGATGCCTGCCTCTGATCCCTGACGGCACCCCCCTCGTGAGATCCGGGAGACAGCCTGCAGTGTGGATCACCCACCACGACGCTCAATGCCCCCTCCCCACCTATTTTCATCCCTGCCCTCCCCACTTCCCCGTCCCAGCTTCCTTCAGAAATTTCGGCCCCCGTCCTCTCCACCCCCCCCCCCAAAAGGCCCCCCAGACACCAGACGCCAGGCAAAAATAGGAAGGGAAAGGAAAAAAAAAAAACTCAGTTGAGCAAGGCGAACTGGCGAGGAAGGAAGTACCTGCGCTAGAGGGTACCTACTTTGGCCCTCCCACGTCCTTCCCCATCAGACATTCAGA